AAAGAGCTTTCTCTTTGCCATCTTTGTGCACTTACTGTGTACCACCTGTAACATCAACTGACACTACCCCCCCCATATATTTACCATCTCCAGCTCCTTGCATAGCAGCAAAGAGGCCAGTGACCAATTTGTGTTGCAGGAAAGGGAGAGAAATGGGGAGTCAGGGATAAGATCAAGCCTGTTCCCCACAGGCAAGGCGATATATTCCATATTCTCTCCAGCCCTAGGAATCCGAAGTGCGGAGCAGCAACAATGGGAGGAGGGGACATGCCCAGTGTGCCCAGTGTCTGGACATCCTCCAGCCCAAACAAATGACTCTTTTGTGGGATAAGACCTCTTCATTAATTTTCCAAATAGAACTATCTCGTAGGTTTTCAGAACACATCAGGGTACTAAAAGTTTAACTACAAGATGTTCTTCACTTTCTTAAAACAGAACCCTCTTAAAATCTGCTAAAAATAAGTCTGCTGTAGTTTCATTTCATTTTCTAAGAAGGAGATAAACAGATCAAAACACACACTTAGCTTCATTTTTAAAGTCTCTTGGTTCCACAGGGCTCATGGATCAAAGTCTGAAAGGGCCAATTCTTTCCCTGCACAGGTCAGTGACACAGCTCTGAAAAAGAGGAAAAGCAGTCCCCTAGGGCAGCCCTGCTGCCGAAAGAGGAAGGGCATGAGTTGAGAATCACTGACGAAGACAGCACCGCCAAAGGAAGTTACAAAACAGCATTTCAGCAACAGGGGCCGAAGCAGAAGACAGATTCTTCACACACCACCATCGCTGGCCCTTTGGCAAGTTGGTGACTAAAGCAAAAATTACCAAGCCAATGGGAGATTATCATGATTTTGTCATTCTGAAATTAAAAAACAACTTTAAACAAAGTTGCAGTTAAAGTGACATTTGCTCCTGCCCGGTGGTGAAGAAGGACTGGATGCATTAACGTAGACAGGAATGGCTAGGAAAGAAGGGTTAAGTGGCAAGTCAGCCCCGACTTTTCGCCCTGGCAAGAAGCCCTAACAGCACACACTGTCACAAGAGGGAGACTCAGACGCAAAGTATCCTCCTCTGCAGCGGCCGCAGAGCCCTGCACCGGGTATCCCAGTTGCGAAAGTGTGGGAACCACCACAGAAACTCAGCTGCCTGACAGAACTGGGTCCTGACCCACAGGAAATGCAGGCGTGTGGATGTGTACTGGGAAGTGGGTTATAAACAGGCCCTCCCAGGTAAATCCTGGAGTCCTCAGAGCTGTTTCCAAGATAACAGGAACTCAGAGAACACACTAGCTCAATTATGGGTGCATGCAAGTTAGCTCAACCCGAGAATCAAAGGAAATGTAACCTTTTCCCCTCTTAACCACATCTGACTTTTCATTCGACTTCAATGCCTGAGGTCAGGGAACCTGTGAGATAGCCGTCCCCTGCTCTCCAGCACTGTGTGCATCTGACAAATGTAAGCTACCCAAGGGCTTCCTCTTTTTGTCAAAACAGTCTCTTTCTTTGCACTTTCATGGCTGTGTAGTTCCTAAGCACCCATTCTGCTACGCACTGGACAGCTGCACAAACCTGACACAGCCCCTCGGCCCCAGCAACACCTGCCTATCCTTCCGATGCTGAAAGTGTAGGTTTAGATTTGAGAGGCAAATGTGCTTTTCAGGAAAAGTTTACTTTGACAACCCACGACTTGGTAAATGGCCTTTTACACAAATGGATTTAAAGAAACTACTGTGATAAAGAACAAAGACCTCGGGGCCAGCGCTGTGGTACAGGGTAATCCTCTGCCGGCGGTGCGGTGCCAGCATCCCAAATGGGTGCTGGTTCGGGTCCCGGCTGCTCCACTTCCAATCCAGCTCTCTGTTATGACCTAGGAAAGCAGCAGAATATGGCCCACATTCTTGGACCCCTGTACCCGCATGGGAGATCCGAAGAAGCTCCTGGCTTCAGATCGGCTCAGCTTCGGCTGCTGCAGCCATTTGGGGAATGAACCAGTGGATGGAAGACTTCTCTCTCTCTACCTATCATTGTCTGTAGCTCTACCTCTCAAATGAAATTAAAAAAAAAAAAAAAACCCTCTAGAAATACAGCTATTATTTATCTCCGTACTAATAGCTAGTTATGTAATCTTTAAAAAGTCATTAACTCCCCCAAATAATCAGTTTTTTCACCAATAAAACAAGGTTGAACTAGATCAGCAAATGTCATACTGGTTATACTTTAGCATCACCTAAAAGACTTTTAAAAAACACAACCTCCACTAAGCCATGCACCAGCCCAACTAAATCAGCTTCTCTGGGTACTGGTAGCTTTCAGAAGCTCCCAGGTGAGCCTAATATGTAACCGGGGCCAGGAACCACTGGCCTAGATTCTGACCTCCAAGGCCTCTTTTCCAATTCTTTCATTTGGAGATGCTAGAATGACAATTCTGGTTACAGGATCTCATAACGCAATAACCCAAACAGCCACAAAATAAGGAAGCTTTAGACGCCAGCACACCATGCCCTGTATGTATACCTGACCAGGGGGAGAGTAACCTGAATTATAGACATTTTTGGAAGTGAAGAATCCTAATGCACAGGTCAGAATGAAAGTAGCATGGTTTAAAATGCACACACATGCTTCCAAAATGCCTTATCAGGACAGAATCAACTCCCAAATGTGGATGTATGGAAATGGATCACAATGAGCTTCTGACCTCTCCTTTTTCCCTCTCCCTCCACCCCCACTAAACCACAACCACAAAAAAGGTTGCCTATTAGTCATAATCAGAATAGAAAACCAGCCTGAGTTTCAAAGGGCCTTCTCCATCATCAAAGCTTTGGATGCTCCTGCATGGCTGCATCTTTTGATGAAGGTCATCTTACAGAAATTTTAACTGAATTATTTCTCTTCAGTCTTCAAGGATTAGTTAACATGTGATACTTGGAATCAGTATTAATAGTAGTAATAATAAAACTTACGCAAAAATAATCATAAACTGTGCACTTTGCATCAAACATACAAAGCCTTGAGAATTTCAACTTACAGTATTTCATGAGGTTTTAGTTGGAGAGAAATGAGATAGCAGGAAAGGATAAACGTAACCATGAGACAATAAAATGGTTATGACATAAAACCACAAGGTTTGTGACTAAGCCCAAAATCTCTATTTTAACTCCACAAGCTATCTGAAAACATAACTAGTTCAATCACAATTCATGGCTACTTCTGGTACTACTTCCTCACATATGTTTCAAAACCAAAAATCACTATTATGAAGTTTCTATTATATTTAACCACAAACAATAGCAAGAATGGTAATTTGTGGAATGAAATTAGTTTTTGCAGTCCTAAAGAAAGAATAGGAGATGAAAAAACTTTCACATTAACTTTTTCTATGTTAACTGAGTCTCTGCACCATATTCAAACATGCAGGACAAATTTCATGTGTTGGGAACTTCAGTATTCCAAATCCCAAAACCATCTTCTCAGATCCCACACAGTCATCCCTCCCTGAAAGACCCTTGAGATTAACCCTTGCCATCCAGCGGGAAACCCACTGTTTAAAGGTTGTCACCTTAGCACAACTTTGAAACGAAACTGCTGTAACTCTCATCCTTTTTGTAAATAGCCCTCATAGCACACAACTGGCATTTCTTCGAAAAGCAATAAAATCAGATCAAGTATAAGATTCATAATGTCAGCACTTGTTAAAGAAAATGAGAGGGATTTATGGAATCATGTCAAAGCACAGGTCTTACTACTAAAGTATCTAAACAAGGCTTCTGCAACAATAGCATTTTTTTTAAAAAAGGGGGCAGTTTGCAAGGATTTCAAAAACAAACTAAAACACTTCCTACACTAAATACTCCAGCTTTTTCATAGACAGCTCCTCTTCATTGCTTCGATTCGGTTCTCTGTCAGGTTAAACTGTTCCTATTCTGCACACCTACTAGAAGGGAGACGCAGGGCTCCCTAATGACAGCGAAGCCAGGGACAGGAGGAGGAAGCAACCAGCCCTCTCATAAGCAAACACCAAACTACACACAAGAGCAACTAATAAGTGCCGCCTCTCTCCAACCGCGCAGGGCCGTCCTCCGCCAGGAGCCGGCCCCACTGCTCTCTTGGGAGCTGGATTCGGGAGGCGCCTGCCAAGAGCAGGCGGCCGGGGTATCAGCAGCCCTGCAGGGGCAGAGGAGTTAATCTCTTCGGATGCCTAACTGCAGGAAGTCATTACATCATAGGCCTTTCCACACCTCTCCTTACCACGTGTCCGGTGCCCCAAGAGGCAGAAAAGGAGCAGTAGGAAGCCTCTCTTCAGGTTCGGTTATAGGTAGAAGCCATTATGGCCCAGCCCTGCCACCAAACCCTCCTCCCGCCCCACAGCTTAGGTGAATCGCAGGCACCTGGAGCTCGGGGCCTGCGCGGGAGCCGCAGGTGCGGGGACCCCCCACCCCACCCCGCGCTGAGGCGGCAATGCGGACCGTTCCAGGCCCCACGACATTTCAGAGGGGACATCGCCCACGGACAACGCGAGCCGACCAGGCAAAGGTCTGCAATCACTACTTCTTCTAATGGGATCGATGCGTCCGTGGGAGTTAACACCTCCAAGCCTGGGGTTCGCAGGCAACTAGTGACAAATACACCGCGCGTTCCCACACACATGCAACCACGCATCCCCGCGCCAAGTCGCAAACGTTCCCCTGCGCCCCTACACCCCACTACGGCGAACTCCACGCCGAAGCCGGCCGCGCACCTACCTTCTCCGTGTAGTCCCTGGAATCCAACAAGCGCACTCCCCGTCTGACCCTCCTCCGCCAACCGCCCCGCGACTCCCGCCCCCGCCCCAACCCCGCCAGGACCGAGGCTTCCCCGGGAGCCTCCTGCGTCCCCTCTGCGGCAGAGCGCGGGTTCCCCTCCGCCGGAGGCGGCGGTCTGCGAAAACTCCCAGGGCCTCAATACAGCGGCTCCCCGGGGCCAAGCCCTCAGCCCGGCGGATCCCGCCGCCAGCCCCGGGTGGGTACGCACCTTCCAACCGGCGGAGCTGTTGCTGTCGCCCTTATCCTTGAAGTAGGGCACACAGCGCACCATCCACTCATAGATCTGGGACAGAGTGAGCCGCTTGTCCGGGGAGCTCTGGATGGCATGAGTGATCAGGTCGGCGTAGGACAGGTTCCCCCAGGCGTTCCGGCGCGAGGAGCATTTCCTCGGCTGCCCTGAGCCCCCAGCCGCCCCCGGCTGCAGCGGTGGCAGCGGCTGCTGAGGCTGCAGCGGAGTCTGCGTCCCCCCGCTCAGCGCGCCCGCCGCGGGCGCTGGCCCGGGCCCGAGGTCCTGCCCTCCGGCAGCCAGCAGGCGGGCCGAATCCTCCAGGAGCAGCCCGGAGCCCAGCGCGCCGCTCCCGCCGCCGCCGCCGCCGCCGATCGCCATGGCCGAGCCAGCCCGGCCGCCGCCGTCCTCGTCGTCTTCATCGTCGTCCTCCTCGGGGATCATGGAGTCGGCGGCCGTCTCCCCCGAGGGCTTGACCGGGCTCGCCTGGAGCTCCGGCCTCTGCAGGGGCCAAGTGCAGGAACGCGGTCGGCTCTGGGGCTCGAACTCCGGGTCCAGCTCCACTTCGAGCGGAGAGAGCGGGGCCGGGGAGGCCGGCGCCTCTGCCATCTTCGGCGCCCGCCCGCCCGCCCGCGGCTCGGGCTCTCGCGCTCTCCTCTCGCGCCGGGGCGGGGTGCGGCGGGGGAGGGCCGGGGCGCCGCCGCCGCCGCCGCCTGAGGAAGCACGAGAGGAGACAGAGGGGGAGTTGGTTATCCCGGGCGGGAGCCCGCCGCCGCCGCCGCACCCGCCACCCGGGAACAGGCAGACCTGGAGACGTGCGTCCCGCGAACCTGGCGCAGCAGACGCCGCCCCCTGGCCAGGCCGCTGGGGAGACGCGAGCGAATGGCCGGCCGCGCACGGGGCAGCCCCCTCCCCCGCCGCCGCCCGATCTGCGGGTCTCTCCCGGGCTAGGTGGCGGGGCGGGGGAGGGGCGGGGGCCGGGCCGGGGGAGGGGCGCGCCGCGCCTTTAAAGCGGGCCGCGGCCGGAGCTGGCGCAGCCGAGCCGCGGTCGGAGCCGGAGCGGGCGTGCGTTTGTTTATGTTTCGCTCCGGCCCCGCTCAAGTGCCTCCCGCGGCGGCGGCGCCGCCAAAGTCTGTGGCGTCTTCCGCGCTCCGCTCCCGTTCCCCTGCCCTGCCGCCTCCGCGACTCCCTGCCGCCGCCCGCCCGGCCCCGTGGCCCGAGCCCCTACTCCCTTCTTCGCCCTGGGGCCGGGAGGGCGACTGGGGGAGCCGGGGTCTGGGCGCAGGCGGGCCTTGCCACTTCCAAGATAGGGGGTAAAAAAAAAAACGGAAAGAAGGGGGACAGGCAACACCCGCGGGTGCTCTCCGGGGGTCCAGCCGGGCGGGAACGGCCACTTCGGGGTTCGGGTGGTTTATTCTCCCGGGGGACGCCGTGCCCTCCGCCCGCTGCCCGGGTCGGGGACGCAGGGAGGGGGCGAGGCGCAGCGTAAATCTTCCAACAGGTCGGGAAGCGCCAAGTCTCCCGGGCGGCCAGAAAGCTCGGGCCAGCGCGTTCATCACCTCCTTGCTCCCGCTGCTGCCATCTTGACAGTTTCCCCCCTTCCCTCAAGTCCTTTAAAAAACACTAGCGGGAGCGAAGGGGGGCGCGCACACCGAGGGGAAAACGGGAAGCGCCTGGCCCCGCTCGGAAGCAGATCCGGAGTCACCGGGAAGGCGGCCGCCCCGCTGCACAGCTCCGGCGCCTACCTCGGTTCCTTCCCTTCAGGGACGAGGCGGGAGGACGCACAATCCCGCGCGGGCCCGGGGCACGGCGAGGAGGGGGCGCGCCACCCGGGCGAAGGAGAGGCGCTCGGGCCGCCGCCGCAGCCCGCCCGAGGAACCGCCTGTCAGCCTGCGCGCCGCAGCCGCCGCCGCCGCCTTCCACATTCCTCCTCCTCCCTTCCACGAGCAGGGCGGCCGCGGCAGCAGCACAAAGTTATAGACACACGCAGGGAGCCTCAACCTAGGCTGACGGCGGGCGGGCGGACGGGTCCCCGCCCAGGGGGAGGGCCGGGGCGGGGGCCGCGGGCGCTCCGCCGTGTGCGCGCGCGCGCGTGCGTGTGTGTGGGGGGGTGTGTGTGAGAGGGATCGCGCGCGCCTGCGCGTGGGCGCCGGGGCGTGCGCGCGCGTGCTCCGCGGGCCGGGGAGCCGAGGGCTTCCGCCGCTGGCCCTGCCGGGCGCCGCGGCAACAAAGCGCGGCGTTGGCTCGCCTGAGGCGGGAGAGGGGAAGGCGCGCGGAGCCACGGACGCCCCGCAGAACCGGGCGAAGTCCCGGCCACCGTGGGGAGTGGGGTGGCGGGGTCCCTGGCCTGCGCGCGCGTCCTCCCGCCGGGCTCTGGTGTCGGATCCCGCAGCGTTAGAACCGGACGCCAGGTAACATCCGAGAGAAGGTGCTGACCGCGGAGGGCCGGGGTCGCCTCGGCGTGGACGTTGCTGTCTGCGACACTTTGATAGACAGATGCGTCCGATTCGATCAGGCCCCCAGGGTTTGCCCTGGGTCCCCCCCCCCCCGTATGGACGCTGAACTACAATCGTCTCCCTTTTTCGTGGATTTCATAGCAGACGGGGGGGGGGGGTGCTTTAACTGAGGAAGAAAATCAAATTATCCCCCGGTTCTCGACGAAAGAGAAGCCTCCGAACAACCGAGAAGGGGGAGCAATTTTATTCTGATTTCACGGCAAAACTTCCAGTTGCGCACTTCTGACGTCTATTTTGGCTTTAGGCGTAACAGAATACCTCCACAAGTCCTCATCCCGTGATGCCTGCCCCAAATCGCTCGTTTATGCCCTAAGAATGTACAACACGCCACATGCACGCCAAACGCCTGTCCGCTTCGGTTCACAAATATCTTGCTGGGAAAATTGCAGTCGCCGGAGCGCCCGCGTTTCGCTGTGTGGCTGCGGCCTCCGCCACACCAGCCGGTGCACGGGAACGTCCAGCCCGGGTTCCGCCGGAGTCCGCCCACCCCGCCGGCTCCGGGCTCCGGGCTTTGCGCAGCGCCCGTCACTCAAGTGACGCGCGGCCCCGCCCCTGCGCCAAGCTAGTTCGACGCGTACAAACAGATGATGTCATCGTCTCCACACGCGCGTGACCCCGGAGCGCTGCGCCGCGTCGCCATTCGCTGCGCCGCTGACTCGTCAAGGCACGCCGCGCGCTGAGTGGCCGCGGGGGCCAGTCTCCAGGCCCCCCGACGCCCCTCTCGGCTCGCCATCCGTCCTGCCCCCGCCCCCGGCAAATAATAAACAATCGAGTAAAAATTCTAAGAAGTGCGGAGAAAAAGAGAGGGTGGCCCCCCGAAGCCACTGCTGCGCACGACGTAATGGCAGCGCTAAAGAGGGAAGGGGGCACGTGGGAGCGCCAAGCTGAAGGGCCAAGGGAGCGGACCCGCGCGGCGGGTCCCGCCGCCCTGAGGAGACGTCGAGGGAGCAAACTTGGACGAGCGCTCCGCCGCGCGCGGCCGGCGCTAAGGCCCGGGAGCCGACGAGCTCGGGCCCGGCGCGCCGAGGGGGCGGAGCCTGAGCGGCGGCGGAGCCGCGCGGGCGGAGCTGGGCGACACGTGCGAGGGCAGGCCGGGCGCGCGCGGCCGCAGTTCGCCCGGGCGCGCGCTTGTTTACCAGCGCACGTGGGTGTTATTTTTAAATGGAATGTGGTGCTGGCCGGGCTGCCGCGCGTAGGGCGCGTGGGGCCGCCCGCGCTAGCTGGGGGACGCGGCGGCACCCGCGCCGCGGCCTCTGCGGGCGCTGCTAAGCCGGACGGCGAAGCTGTCTCCGTGCGTGTTGCCAGCGGCCCCGGCCCTGGAGCCCGATTGCCGAGTTTCGCGCGCTGCCGGAGCGGCCGCCGAGATGACGGGTTCCCGCCTCGGAACGCCGCCTTCATTCTTCCCGTGCTTGGCTCCCCCGCATTCCACACTCTGGGAACAAAGCCGCCCGCCGTTGCGGGGCTGGGAGGCGGCGCTGGGCGGACCCCGCAGCTGCAGGTTCTGGAGCTGTGTTCACGCACGCACGCTCGCCCTCTCAAACGCGTTTCTGCTACTTTGGGTGTCCCTGCGAAGTCTGGGGGGACAAGGGGGGGAAGAGATCTGCTTCATGGGATTGCGCCTCAGCCGGAGGATCCTCTCTGTGGGCCTGCCCCGCTGAGATCCCGAGTTTGTATTCGGTTTACAGTGTGGACAGTGGTGCGAGATCACAGCTGTCAGCTCCAAGTGCCAGTGTTCTGGACGCCGAGGGCAGAGGTTTCGGGGGAGGCAGATAGGGGAGTAGGAACAGATTATCCGCAGTCTGGTGTTCAGTTTTGCGCCAAGGGCTTAGGGCTTTTGCACCGTGATGCCGCATAAAATCCAAGGCATTTTCAGTTGCTGGTAAAAGAAATCCACACTTTGCCTTCTCCAGATCTGAACGATCCTTTGCCATTGGAGTGCAGACCTGCAGAACCAGAAAGAATGTGTTTACACTGGCTGGGCTCTCAGCGCTGGTCTTTGCAAACACGTTGAATGTCCATTTATAGAATGCATATCTCAAGGGCATTCCAGAACAATGGAAGAGTTGAAAGATTCAGCGGACTGCGAGCACGGAGACCCTCACGCTGAATAACGCTGAAGATGGGGCATGATCTAGCCACTTAGAGCTTACCGTCCTAGTTGGAATGAGACACATTGAAAAGTTAAACATTTTCCGAGTCTGAAAGCACTACAAGACAAATACAAGAGGTCATCCGTGTTATGTTGGGTTAAGTTTCAAACAAATTGGGGATCTAAAAACTTGAGATGGCAGCAACTGTAAACATTCAGCTTTGTACGTGTGTTTTTATTTTTTTATTATAAGATTTATTTATTTATTTGAAAGACAGTTACAGAGAGGCAGAGAGAGGTCTTCCATCTGCTGGCTCAGTCCCCAGATGGCTGCGATTATGGCTTTCCCAGGTCATAGCTGGATCGGAAGTGGAGCAGCCTGGACTTGAACCTGCACCCACATGGGATGTCGGCACTGCAGGTGGGGCTTTACCCGCTGTGCCACAGCACCGGTCCCACGTGTGTGTTTTACCCAGGTAATTCATCCCTGTGGGCAAGCCTTAAAGAACTAGAGACTCAGGGATCGTTCCCTTTTAGCTTGACACTTTGCCTTCCCGGGTAGGCCTCTCCGTTCCTTTTCCATTTCTTCCCACCACCTTTTCCTCCTGGTTTTTAAGTGCAGGAGAGCTGAGGAAGTCTCAGTGGTTGATTGAAAAGGAATGCTGCTGGTAGAATTCTTGCTCAGAACTTTCCCCCCACGTTTTACTGATCCATTCTATGCCCTATTTCCATGAACGGCTTTAAGGTGCTGATGTGGTCCCTCCATTTGGTAAATTCAGTCAGTGCAGAAACAAAAGGTGAGGAGGTGGCACTTGGCCCCTGTGTGCCAGCCCAGTTCTTGTATCCAGGCCAACCAGAGCCTCCCTCTGACACAGAGCCAATGTCTGGGGCCCCAGCCTGCTGCCTCTCAGCAGGGCTTCTCTGCCCAACCCAAGACAGGAAACGCAAAGACATAGGAACCTGCTAAGGAGAACATTTGCCTGCTGGAAAGAAACAAGGATCCCCAATATCTGTAACTGTCTCCCTGGCGTCCACGCAGTACCTCCATTGGTCACTGTGCTGCCCCCTCCTGGGCCAGCTACTCCCATGAAGAACTTTCTGGTTGAATGCTATGTACCCAAGCACACCGTGAGCTCGGCTCTGCTTTCCGGCATCGGTCCAGGCAGGTTTCATCACCACCCTCTGCACTGGAAGGGGCAGCTCACCGCCTCTGGCTTTCGTTCCCTAACGGAGCTCTGCCAGGGTTACAGTGTGTGTCCTTTGGGTCATCTGCAGGGCAAGCCTGTTGGTTTCAAGCCCTGAAATGGACTTGGGTAGTAATGGAGAGGAATTCTCTGTTTCAGTATGATGAGAAAGGATGATGACTAACTGGAGTCATCACTTCATACAGTCGAGCACTTTGTCAGCAGTGCTGGAGCCTTGCAAAGACCACAGGAGGAAGTTGCAGAAGTGGGATCAAGAATTCAGCCTCTGAGCTTCCCTCCCTTAGCAGCTGTGTGGCTTTGGGGGTGTCATTTAACCATCGAGCCTCAGTCCCTCAGCTGGAAAATGGGGATGATACCTTCTGGGGTTGGGGGATTAGGCTAAGTAAAATTAGAATGAAAGCATTTAGATATGAATAGTACTGCACCAGGACGCTTTTAAACATGGTGGTACCCAGGCTCTGTCTTGAAACAAATCAGTTAGACCTTTGGAAAGTGGAGGGTAGTATTGCAAGGCTTTTACATGTTTTCCTGGTGAATCCCAGGCAGCGAAGGCTGAGAATACTAAGGTAGGGGTCTCCTGTGGACTCAAGTCTTTGCCCTTGGCCATCACCAATTCATTCCTGCTTGAAATGAGGGCGGAGCCTTCCCTGGCCACTTCCATGCACAAAGCATCTTGGCTGGTCTCTAGAAAAAGCTACCCCGGCAGGGACCATCCTGTCAATTTACAGGGATCTCCCCAGATCTGACAGGGAGCAGCAGGCCCAGAACTTGAACCAACAGCTGTCTGAACCTACCCAGCCTGCACATGGGCCCAGAGGCAAGGAGCTTTCTTTGGCCGTCTGGTCTACCCGAAGTGGCCTGCAGCCAGACACTGGGACACACCCCACACTCTTCCCTAACCAGCCCACAGCTGGTGGTATCTGGCCACATCTGCTCCCACAAGGTTGTGCAGAGGGTGGTTCCCCGAAATGTTTTTAAGGTTTCTGAGTCTTGCTAAAATTTAAAAAGGGGAAAGAGTTCACCCAAACTCTGATTTCTAGCTATTCTGGAAAAATTGGAAGAGCTTGTAGTACTGGCGCCACATGGCAAGGAGTTGAGTACCTGCCTGTTTACTTCCAGTCGCCATCAGGGCCTCTCG